TAGCAATGTTTAACATATTTAGCAGAGTTTTAATCATACAAATGCAAATCGCTAGCTTTCGTGCTAAGAAATACTGGTTTTTGAGTCAAAAGTTATTATACGTCGTTTGGTGGCCCCTATTGTTACTTAAGTCAAAGTGTATTTACCAGGATATTCGGGAGAATTATCAATTACGTCTCCTTACGTGCAGCCCATTCATCATTTTAGGACCACCGAAATCATCAACATACAACATAGCAACAAACAGTTCGATTTATTCACTTTAATAATGAGAAAGCGAAACGACGAACGTACACTTTTCACGGGTTTCTCAGCGCTGTTACTTAAGTCAAACGGCATCTCCATAGAAATTGGGTGACTTAAGTAACATCGAAAACTATTTTGATCGGAAGGTGATCACGTCAAAAAGCAATTTGACTGGTAAATAAATTTAAAAATGGGATTTGATCCTATATTCGGACAGTATATAGTGTAATAGCAGGAGAATCGATTGACACTGATAGCTCGACTTTGTTTACCTTTGTTACATTCGACGTAATGAAAATTTGCTCTTGATTTGTAATCGGTTATATCATGCCGATATAAGCATTAACATCTCCAGAGGGTCATCACCAATCGTTTCAAACATGTGCTGCACTCTCATTGGTGGAAAAATGGCAGCACAGCGAACAAAAAAAAAACGATTAGTTGTTAATCGAGTAATTAAAAAATGGGACATCTCTGATTTTGGTGTGTTTGTTTTGATAAAAATGAGCGCAAAATTTCATCTCTACTGAGGGGGCAGCAAAACCACAAAATTACCTTGAATACGGGGGGTATCCATTGGATGAAAGGGACCGTGAAGGAGGACACTGAAATAGAAAGTTTTTCTTCCGACAGTTTCATCTTAGTATTCATCTTTGATATAACCGATTACAAATATTTTACTTTTCGGTTCGTTAATCCGTTAATCGATTATTCGAATGAAAATCGGCCATCACTAGATGAATGTGAAACGTCATTTCAAATATAAGGACCGTACATAAATAATTATACAATTTGAAAGGGACCGGGACTAATCACAAATTATGTCCCAACGGCAAGCCCCACGGTAACTGAAATAAACACGAGTACTGACCGGTTGCCCTAACTTAACATATGGACTAGATGGTGTAGTATTCACCTTTATCGTGTGCTTTCTAGGGCCCATGCATCAATTATGTCACGCTAAATCGAGGATAAATTTAATTGCTTGTCACAAGATCATAGACACAACCCCCCCCCCCCTTCCTAGAGCGTGAGATAATATATGCATCAAGCCCTATGCATACACGCAGATGTCAAAGATCGTTCAACTTCGTGCGATGTTTTCGGTAAACACTGCTTACAACCGATCAGAGAAATAGAAGATCAGACAGCAAGTTGAAACACCAAACCAACAATGTAGTTAGTTTCAATCATCAGTCCGAGAGTCTGCTTTATACCTTTTAGATTTCGTTCGGCTATAATCCGGTTCAGTAGTTTCGGTTTGCTTTTCGGTTGTCCGTTTCAGCAATATGTACACTGAAGGGCCACCCACATTAGATCCGTTTGCGTTGCGTTGACGTAAATTTGACAGTAAGACAATAGATTTAGCTGTCACTTTGCCGCAACGCGTCCGATCCGGATCTAATGTGCGTGGGCCATCAAGGCAAATAAACTTAAGAATTCCATGAAACTCGACTTATGAACCACACATATGAATTTCATAAGCGCGACTTGTGAATGATTGTCGTCTAACATGAGGTTCGGTTCCAGCATACATGTAACTCCAAGACCAGAAGGTCCCGAAGAAACATACTCCACTTTTTGGCTCAGCTCTGGTACTCTCTTCGGCCCCAAGCTAATCAATTGACTTCTCGACGCAAGATCTCTCTAATACAACCTAGCTAGCGTAGCCGTGTAAAATCGATTTGTTTATTATTTTCTACCACGAAATCAGCTGTCAAAGTGTTCGACTTGATAGCGGTTTGTTTTTTTTTCAACCAGTAAAATGCATGTATTAGTAAAACTTCTCACTAATACTAACGGTGGTAGAGAACTCTATGCACCCCTCGAAACGTAGGAAAATCCACGAACCCCTTATTTTATCTGTAAAACTTTCGTAGCAAATCAAAACAAACATAGCGAAGTACTAGAATTTCGAATATAATGGGATACGTTAATTAATCGATTTGCTTGGGACCAATAGGCTACCCTTATAAAAATATTATGGTTAATTTGCTTAACGACGTGTTCGGGGTATCAAACAAACCATTTTTGGAGTAGTTCAAACATTTGGGTTATCGTTCGTTTATGGTATTTTTTATTAGGGCAGTCAAGTAGTGAGCCAATTTAAAATCTTTAGTTTCCACCGGTTGGTTCCAGTCTGCTCCGTATTATAGTTTTTTTGGCAACATTATTTTTCATAAGGCAAATCAATAAAATTCATACCGATTTCTTGAGGCTAAAATTCATAAGAGGTTCTTATGAAATTCTTACATTTTTTTTTTAATATATGAAAAACCAGCAGAATATTTTGCTGATTTCTAAGTATTGCACGATACAAATTTAGAGTGCATGTTTATTTTGCCGCAGATGTTGCAAGACGTCATCAGACGTTTAAATTTAACAACAGTAGCTAACTTGTGGTCATCGTTTAAATAAAAATAATACTTTTAAAATTAAGTAGTGTAAAAAAAAGGAATTGCAGTGTAGTGAACTAGACGTACTGTTCCACAATATGTTCAATAAAAATCGTGATAATCGAGTATTATATGGCAATCAATTAAATTACATTTCACCTCATCTCTGTGAAATCAAAGTTATTATATAAATAATCTCAAATAATATTTATAACATAATCCCATTGGTTTTAGCAGTGCTCGAATGGATAGGGATTTGCACAAAGATGAACAGAATGCATATTTTGAATAATTCTACCACCAGACTTCTACTAGTAAGATCGTTTTGTTCCAACAATGGTGCAGACAACGCTGGCAAGACGACCAAAAATATTGAGGTACATATATTAGTTGAATAAAGTATATCTTCCTTGACCTGGTAAAAGGTACAACGAGTTGGGTATCGTAGGCTAAACAAATTACAACTACAATTTAAAACATTGAATTTTTCCTCGATTTGTAGCTACCGCCGGAACCAACGACCTGTTGCATGTCCGGATGTCAAAACTGTGTCTGGGTGCAGTATGCCAATGAGTTGACCAAACTTTTAGATGATAGCGGAGAGCAAGCTCGAGAGATTGTGTTAAATAAAGTCACAGATCCTAGCTTGAAAATGTTTCTACGTATGGAGCTGCAGAGCTTAGATAGTGTCCGAAAAGAGCCACCTTCCGAGTGATCTGCGTAAAGTCAGGGCGTTTGAAAGCAATGTGTTCGTGTGGAAAACCTCAAACAAAGTTCTGATGGCGCTACAGATCCAGGAGGTCGAATATATTTTTAAAATAATAAATTATTACTATTTGTATATAAACTTGGTAGCCAATGTAGATATAAGCGTTAAAACGTTCAAGAACTTGAAAATTGTGGTTTAGCAAATAAATGGATTTTCGCTCACAGAGCAATTTGGGAAGTTAATTGTGAAAGCAAAATAATCACTTCACTGTTTGGTACAAAACGATCAAAATAACAGCCCGCATAAAAAGTATATATACTATAGATTCCATAGATAAGCGGAGGCACAAAAAGATGTTTTGGCAACCACGAAAAATTAATGATCTTACTGGCATCTGTGAAAAAAGTTCATGCCATCATAAAAGCTCTTCGTTTTGCAGTTTTGTTTTGACCGATTTGAGTGGACTCTACCCAAATTTGGGGAGTTTTGAAATAGCGTGTACTCAAAAATACCCAATAATGACTATAAAAGACTCGATATTGACAACAAAGTAAGCATTATCGAGGGAGACTGGGACTACCCATTAAATGAGTAAAAATATTACACATTTATGAGTATTTCTTACACAAAAATGAATACTTACTACTTATTTTTGTAGTTGTAATTACTCATAAATGGGTAAAATTTTACTCATTTAATTGGTAGTCCCAGTTTCCCTCAAAAATGCTTACCTTGTAGTCATTATTGGGTATTTTGCGGTTACCGTGTATGTTAACTGCGTTTACACATTTATTTGTAAACCCAGCAAAGAAGAGTATTTTTTACACATTACACACTAAGATTTTGGAACCGTGTTCGGTAAATTTTACCGAAATCAGAACAGCTGAATGTTCGGTAAAACTTTGACCTTCATTTTAAAGGCTATTGAATTTTAAAATAATTTTAAAACATGTTCAACCTTGTTTCAATGATCAAATTTTGTCATTTTAGTGGAGATTTAGTTTCAAAGTAGCTGAAAAGCAATTGAATTGAATTGCATAAATTTTACCGATAATTTCTAAGTGTGTAGGGTTTTACTGCAAAATGTGTAAAAAGTAACCATTTCTACAACTTGAATATAATGAGGACGCATGTTTGTTATTAATTTCGGAGTTTTCTTTTTTGTGTCAACCATAAAATAAAGATTGCTCGGATTCAATGCTATAACTATACTGCTACTGCTAAAAAAAAGAAATTCCATCAACAACAATCAGTAATGAAGCAAGCGATTTATCATAATATATGAAAAATTGAAGATTACTGTCTGAGTCACTCTGTTCTGCAATGAGTGATTCAGAAAAAGACGTCACAAGTTTTTGTAACTATAGTTGAAATTTTTTAGTATTCTCAGTCATAAAACTACCTCTAGATATACTTCGAAACCGAGCTTTAAACCTTTCTAACACTTTAGGAAATATTTACATACCCAGTGTTGGCAGGTCAAAAAGGACCCCTTGCACTACGAAGGTTAAAGTTTTTGCCAAAGACACCGTGCCCAAATCGCTCCAAAACAGGTGACTGTTAACCACAGGGAGCGCACTTCATAAGATTGTCAACTCACTGGGCTGCAATCAGACGTTAGAATCAGGACGCAGCCAAAACGTCACCCTAATTCGCAAACTGTCAAAACTAGGCAACAACATTAGATTCTCTCAGTGAAGTTACGTAAAATTGCCTTCTTCTACAACTTCAGGTAAGATTTTTGCAATTTTCTTATCCAGTTTCCATAATTACAGTAGGCGTTCAGCTGCTACTCTTTCGTAAAATACTTATCGCTGTGGTGATCTACCGTTATCTGTTGAAGGTTCCTTTAATTCACCCGTTCAATGCTGTTCGCTACGGGCATTTATTTTTATGTTCCTTAACATGAATCCGGTATTTGTTTTAGGCACAAAATGAGTCTGATAAAGGCAAAATACTACGACAGCCCCGAGGGCAGCAACCTGTTCGAGAAGATGGTAGCCACCAACAAGTACGCCCTGGCTGCCGGTCTCGGTTGGTCCTCGATCGAGGTGCTGATGATTTCCAAACCGAAGGGAGTAATGCCATCGCTTGCCCGGTATGTCTACTTCACCGGACCGTTCATGGGAATGGCGTCGGCATTCACCGTCGGTGCCTATACTGCCAACAAGCTGCGCGGAAAGGATGACACGTAAGTAGAATAACAGATTCTTACAGATTGCCTGTTAAAAGTTCTGGTCATTGTAGCGTTGAAGGAAATGAACAATAAGATCATTTTTGTTATCATCGAAGCAATTCAAAGGTCCAGAACAGAAGCTGTCGTATAACTGTTCAGGACCGTATTTATGTTAATGGGGGCTCAAGGCCATACATTGCGGTGGCCCATCGAGTGCACCTAAGTCGATTTAAACTGTCCTTCATATTCGCAATCTTCAAATCAAACTTCATTAATTGAAAACTAGCTTACAGAAGAGTTAAATGCAAAATGAAGCAATTTCTTTGACAATTTTGTATAATTTTATTCATAAATGTAGGGGTGGCACTCTTGCCACGTTTGAGGTTCGTTTTTAAGAAGGTGATTTTTGGCTAATTATAGGGAGTAGTTACCTATTCATTGTTATTATTGTTTCAATTAATCGTTAATAGTGATGCCTCAATGCAGGAATTGTTGAAAAAAATTGTGGAAATTCGAGAATCCTTATTGTATCATGTATGTATTATGTATCTAAGGTAGCCACCATCCCTTCGAAGATCTTGTCTTGTATGTAGCTCCACTTAATATATCAAGATCAATTTGAGCTACCGATCTGAATTCACAATATCGCTGTATGAAGGGCCAAAAGCGGAAGGGCGAACCCATAATCAGAGACACTTACACGAACTCCACGGGAATTTAAGAATCTCCTTCCAACGATACGATTCAACAAACCGAATAACGCAATTTTTGAAAGACTTCGCTTTTTGACAGAACTTTCTATAATACTGTTTAGAAACACCACTCATAGTTTCATGGGTGAGCTAGCATTGAAAATGTGTGTTTTTTTATTATTGGGGGTGACACTCTTGTCCCACCTGGCACAAGTACCAGGATAATAAAATATTTATTTGATGATTTCTTTTCCTGCATTTTTGATTCGCATAAATAAAAATACAAAAGCAAATGAAACAGACAGAAAAAGCACACAATTGCAAATAAATACCAACCGGTGGAAACTAACGATTTTCAATTGGCTCGGAATTCAGTGCCAACATTTCAAAGCGGCGTAATTGCATTTGTAAACAATGGCTTTAGCCGTCGATTTCGCGCGAATAAAAGCACACTCATGAAAAATAATCACACCAGCAGGTAGAGGAATGTTTCCTCTACCAGTTAGCATTGTCATTTTGGAGAGGTAAGATTTCATTCGCGAGAAATTGACGGCTAAAGTCATTGTTTACAAAAGCAATTACGCCCCTTTGAAATGTTGGCACTGAATTCTAGTACTACACTATGTTTTGATTCGCTATGAAAGTTTGACAGATAAAATAAGTAGTTCGTGGATTTTCCTATGTTTCGAGGGGTGCATCGATTAGCTTGGGACCGAAGAGAGTACCAGAGCTGAGCTAAAAAGTTGAGCACGTTTCTTTGGGACCTTCAAGTCTTAGAGTTACCTCTATGTAAATACCGGGTATGCATCTGTTGGATCATAGCAATCACTGGAACACTATAGCCTTGAATAGCAACCCGGAGCAAACGCTCGAGGCCTTGGCAACGAACATCAGCGAATTTTCGTTCAACCCGGAAGATGGAATCACCTTCGAGAAATGGTACAGCCGGTAAGCAGATCTTTTCGATTCGGATGCCAAGAACTTGGAAGATGCCGCCAAGGTTCGATTGCTGCTGAGGAAGTTGGATACACCGTCACACACCTGGTACATCAACTACATCCTGCCGAAGCTTCCAAAAGACGTCAATTTTGCTGACACAGTCGAAATCCTCAAGAAGATCTATGGACCATCTTCAACAAGCGATATCAGTGCCTGCAGCTGGTGAAATCTGAAACTGAAGACATCATCAGCTACGGAGGCAAAGTCAACCGTGCTTGCGAGAATTTCGATTTCAAGAACGTGAAGATTGACCAATTCAAATGCTTGGTGTTTGTCTGCGGTCTCAAAAGCCATTGCTATGCAGACATACGAGCCAGGCTACTCTCCCGGATCGAAGCTGAAACACCAGAAGCTCCCGTAACACTCCAAAACTTGATCGGCGGCCACATCCATAATCGAGCGTCAGTCAAGCTGGTGCACACAGTTCAGGAGAAGAAGGGAACCTCTCGACAACAACAGTCTTCGAAGACGGAAGGTAAATCGCCTCGCACACCTTGTTGGCAATGCGGCCAGATACACTATGTTCGGGATTGTCCATTCTCGAATCATCAGTGCAAGCAGTGCAACCGTATCGGCCACAAGGAAGGCTACTGTGGCTGCTTCTCCAAACCAAAATCCGTTCAAGCTGGGGAGGAAAAGAAGTCATCGAACAAATCAAGCAAACCCTACAAGGAAAAACCCGGGGCGTATACATCGTCAATCACTCAAGCAAGCGAAAGTTTGTGCCAACATTCATCAACGGCGTGGAAACCAAGCTACAACTGGACACAACGAGCGACATCACGGAAATCTCGAAGCAAACCTGGTACTATCTGGGCAAACCTGCAATCAAGAAACCAACCATTTAAGCAATGAACGCGTCAGGCAAGCCGCTCAATTTGATGGGTGAGTTCGAGTGCGAAGTGAGAATCAACGGCAAGACTGCACAAGGAAGATGCTTCGTCACAACGGCTGCTAATCTGAACCTGCTAGGCATCGACTGGATCGAACTTTTCAAGCTGTGGTCAGTTCCCATCGAATCGGTTTGCAACCAAGTGAAGACAAAACCAATCGATCAGCAAGTACATGAATTCCAGGCCAAGCACGCAGATGTGTTCAACGATTCACTAGGACATTGCAAGAAGCTAAAGGTAGAGCAATTGTTACGATGATCGGAAGCTTGGGGTCGTAGTGTGTCAACAACAAGTTTGATTGAAGAACTGTCTTCAACTTTTCGAAAGTTTGCTGACACTCGCATGTCCATTTCCACTTCGTTTCTTTCTTGAGAAGCTTGTCCATGGGATAGCGCAATTCTTGTAGGTTGCGCACGAATCTTCTGTAGAGGTTGACCGCGCCCAGAAACGATCGCAGCTCAGTGACGTTGGTTGGAGGTTACCTTGTCGGTCCACGATGCGTCCCAAGTAGCGGATTTGCGACTGGAAGAAACTACACTTCTCTGCCTTGACGTGGAATCCATACTCCTTGAGACGTAGGAAAAGCTGGTTGAGTGATACCATAGAGGTAACTCTAAGACCAGAAGGTCCCGAAGAAACGTGCTCAATTTTTTAGCTCAGCTCTGGTACTCTCTTCGGTCCCAAGCTAATCGATGCACCCCTCGAAACATAGGAAAATCCACGAACCCCTCATTTTATCTGTCAAACTTTCATAGCAAATCAACACAAACATAGTGTAGTACTAGAATTCCGACTAGAATGGGGTACGTTAATCGATTTGCTTGGGACCAATAGGCTAGCCAAGTAGTGAGCCAATTTGAAATCGTCAGTTTCCACCGGTTGGTGATACTGCATGCGACTCCAAGTCCTGGCCGAGTACTTTGTCATCGTCGATGAAAGAGCGGACACCAGGTATTCCGCAATCATACCATCAACCAGTCCTTAGAATGCTGGTGCAGACTTTACCCCTGGAGCGAGGCGATTGAACCGGAATAAACTCCGATGCGTATTGATGGTGAGCAGCTTTTTTGAATCGTCATCCACCTCGAACTGCAAGTATGCATCGAAGAGGTCGATGATGCTGAATACGGAACTGCCATTGATTTGGGCGAAAATTTCCTCCGGAGTGGGAAGCGAGTAGTGATTAGTTTCTAATGCCGCGTTGAGTCCTGTTGAATAGTCCGCACAGATACGAACCCGGTCGTTTGGTTTACGTACAACCAAGATTGGAGCAGCCCATTCAGAGAAATCGATAGGCTCGATGATACACAATGATTCCAACCGTGTAATTTCAGCATCGACCGATAGAATTGTGTTGAAAGGAACTGGCCGCTTGGGACAGAAAACAGGTTGAGCATTAGGTTTGAGGAACAACTTTTGAACAACTCAGAAATTCTGGAGTTAAAGGATTCAGATTTCTCCAATCCGACGCCGTATCCGAAGATATTGACGATGCAGAACCAACAGATGCAATTGAGGAGGCAGCCCATCCGGGAACTCCACTCTTGGAAACAGTGGCGTCGCCCTAACCTCAATCCACCTGTTCAACAACTCTCAAAACGTAAACAAATAAAAAAATATTTCTTCCAATGCATACAATTCAGCGAAACTAGAATAGCCTGTATCTTTTGAAACTGATTTGAATGTAAACATGATCCCAAATAACGTTTTCAAAGTTGTTTAACAGGTAAAAATTGAGGTTACGCGACGCCACTGCTTGGAAAGAGGACGGCGTATGATTCAACTTCCGGCCCGTTTCAAACCCTACTGGATGACAAAACCTTAAGGGAGAAATGTTGGATCATAGCAATCACTGGAACACTATATAAACGGAGCAATTGACAAGTATTGAGGCATGATAGGTAGACCTTGAATAAAGAAACATCTCTAGTATTTATCTTTCTATTTCGGAACTACTTTCCGGACACATCACCATCGAAAAAATGCATTCACTTTATTCAATTTATGTATAAACCATTTTATACTAAGTTCGTATTCTTCAAGGGGTAGGTCACTCAGCACAGTGTACCAAAACACAGTAGGGCACACCATGGCTCACTCATTGGCACTGTTTGGCACCCATGGTACATTTTTTTGGATCTCTAAAGTAACTGGCATCACTGCATTATTTCTGAAATGCGCGTCAAAATTTGATTTGTTGACACAAACAATTTTCGGTATTCGCAACAAATAATTTCGCCGAAGCCTCCACCTCATCCTTACTGCTATGATCCGCAACCGGATCAACGAAAGATGCCGACATCACGACGACGACCGGGTGGATTTAATATAAATCTTTGAAAGCCAACGCAGGAGTGCAGAAACTGCCACGGAATTGGGAAGTTTATGCACTTCTGTATTGACTTCCAGATGTTTCACGGATTTTGAAGCA